GAACGTATGGATCAAATAAGACTAAAGACTACGACGATTCCCCGGCAAATCCAACGATAATAGCCTTGCCATTATCGTTTATTCGAGCCGGAAAGGAGCTCGATGAAGATGAGGAAATCAGTACCATGGTCTACACTACATTCGATGGACTTGCTTGAATGAGCGTTCAATTTCTGCCGCTGTCGTTCTGGTATGGCCAAACGAGATGCCAGCAGCTGTACACTTCAACCATGCCATGCACGCTCTTGAGCGTCATCTGCAATGTGGAAGAACATTAGATATGTATCCACCGCCCTATGAAGAACGCCGTGGCGATTGTGGCGTGCCGTAAAGAAGGTCTGCTCTGAGGTGGTAGAGGTGCTCACAGGGCCCGCTCCGATGCGCGGGTCGTCGATGCATACGGAACCATCGACAAAACAGTGCCTCTCGGACACCCCGCCACAAGCATCTGGATCAGCCCACGATGCGGCGATGGTACTCCTGGCAGATCGCAGGCTTTTTGAACCAGGTGCGGAAGTTTGCGATGAGTACTTTGTCATTGCCCGCCTTAGCCCAGTCAACAAAAGTTCCACCAATACGACAAGGACAAGCCACGACGCCGCGGACAGCCACCGGAGAAGAAGCCATGGATCACCAGGCCCCAAGTCATGTATCTACGAGATGCTCAAGCAAAACAACCGACATGCGCAGTCAATTAAGCAGACACGCAGAAAGAAAATAAAGTGAACTCAAGTAGCTGTTGGAGCTCGGCTCCCCAAGGCGAGGCGTGTTGATATCAGTTGTGTTTTGTTATCAATTCTGTTTCACCTGCTGTTTTGTTATGATGGAAACGATAAGATGTATCTTATCTATCTTATCTTTACATGTATCTTATCGAAGTATCCTTAATCTGCCTATAAAATGGGGTTAGCTGGTGAGATGCACTTCTGAGCTCTTTCCAAGATTTTTTTGCAGCTGTATATTCACTGGACTGCAGTCGCAATGGTAAACCTCAAACGGTCCATTACATCGAGGAACCATTCCAGCAGGTAACTTATGTGAACCTATCAACCGAGTGTAGGGGAGCGGTGAGGAATGTGAGAATGGAGGGAGTGAGGATGATAGGAAGAGAGGATTGATAGTGATTGATGAATGCATAAAAGGGTTGTGCCGGTTCAATAAATCATTCCTCTCCCAGTGTTCGTCGCATCGCAACTGGCGATCAGGCGAACCGAAGAAGCAGTAAGAAGGCCGGCGACGTCAAGCGAAGAAGACTGACGACGCAGACAAGAAGATAGAAGACAACAATCAAGAACAAGTAAGAACATCGACGATGACGGAGGTCAAGGCCGAAGCGGGGGGCAGCTCCATGGGGTTCCACGGACGTCCGATCCCGGTACAGATGTGTATCGAGGTCGGTCCCCGGGACCATATGTTCCCGGGACGTCGTGGAGAACCTGGTGGAAGCTGTTCTCCAACTTCCTCGTACTGAGGAAGGTTACAGAAGAAAGGGAGCAGCGGCTAATTTTCTTGCAGGAGGTAGGCAACTCGAACTATGAGTTGCTGGAGTCCCTCCTGCAAGGACGCGAATTGGAGGACGTGGAACTGAAGGAGCTTCGACAGGCGATGGAGCGCCATTACCAACCGAAGAAGCTGGTACTAGCAGAGCGTTTCGGCCTCATGTCGAAGGTCCAGAAGCCAGGACAAGCCCTGCACGAATACTACGCGGAGCTGCAGAAAGCGGCAAATACGTGTAGTTTTGAAGAAATCAAGAATCATCGGGATGCGGTAGTCACGATGGTCTTCATTGGAGGACTACTTTCAGTGGATACAAGGAAGCGACTACTAGGAAAAGGAGGACCTGACGTCAAAAGAAGCTCTGGAACAAGCAGAAGCGTTTGAGCGTGTTGGAGTAAACGCTCCGCATTTGAAGGAAGGTCCCCAAGCAGTAGGGATAGCTGAGGTAAGAATGCGTAACCGGCAACCGGCTCGGCGCACGCAAACAGTAGATCAAAAGGGGAAATCGAGCAAGGGCCCAGCTCGAAGGGATTTGAGATGTAGGGTTTGCGGGGCGCTAGGTCATGCCGGTTACGAGTGTTTCAGGAAACAAAGTGCATACTGTAAGGTATGCAAGAAGAAAGGCCACCTACCAGCGACGTGTTGGAAGAGCGCAAGGATAGGCCGTAAAGTCTCCCGCCAGGTTCACTGGTGCGAGGAGCCCGCCGGAAGCTCCGACAGTGGTGAGAGATGGTAAGCCAAGGCGTGAATACAGTAGTAGTATCACGCATACCCCACTGTCGTAGAGCCGAGTGCAGGAATCCGGCGCGGTCGAGCAGGGCAAAGTACCATCAAAGGAAGAAAAGTGGCGGTTCTGCCATACATGATGGAACTTACCGGAGAGTGCCGGTGACGACTGGCGGCAGCAGCCGAGAGAAGTCGGCCGCTGCCGCCAGTCGAAGGCAATATTAAACATGCCAAAGCCTAGGAACTTGAAAGAATTGGAATCCTACCTAGGCATGATACAATATTACGGGAAATTTATCCCGAGACTGGCTACTTTAGCAGCGCCTTTAAATGGCCTGCGGAGAAA